ATAAAGAAATACTCCGAAAAATTAAATCTTGACGTGAATTCGACAATACCATCATGTGCCAAACCACCGAGGTTGTATGGGTTACCGAAAATACACAAACCAAACGCTCCACTACGTCCTATAGTAAGCCAGATCGATTCACCAACTTATAAGTTGGCTCAACACTTGGCGAAAATACTGTCACCACTAAGAGGACATACCAGAGCACACACAAAGGATTCATACCAATTTGTTAGTGAGATTAAAGACCTACATCTCGCTGACAATGAAACTATGGTCAGTTTTGATGTTCAGTCACTATTCACATGCCTACCTATTGAAGACTGCATCTCAATTGTTACTAGAAAACTAGAAGATAACAACATGCCTACAGAATATGCAGTATTACTCAAACACTGCCTCACATCTGGCTATTTATTGTGGAAAGAAGAGTTCTACATGCAAGTAGATGGAGTGGCAATGGGCTCACCTGTATCTCCCGTAGTCGCCGACATATTCATGGAGGACTTTGAGGAGAAAGCCCTTCTTACTGCTCCTGTAAATCCAAGATTCTACAAGCGGTACGTAGACGATACTTTCACAATTTTACCATCTGACAAAGTAACTGCATTTTTAAACCACCTTAATTCCATAAACCCTAAAATACAATTCACAATGGAGTTAGAGGCAAACAATACTTTAGCTTTTCTAGATGTTTTAGTCATCCGAAATCCTGATAACACTATTGGTCATACTGTGTACAGAAAAAATACCCATACCAACCGATATTTAAATGGTGAATCACACCATCATCCTTCACAGTTAGCTACCGTGGGAAAATCTTTGTTTCAGAGAGCACGAGGGATCTGTGACAGAAAACATCTGGCCGCCGAGCTTCAGCACGTCGAGCAAGTACTGCAAGACAACAAGCTTCGGGTCCCGCGCCTACGTCACAGTGACCGAGTGAAGCCAGCCACAGTCGAGCGTGTGCCTGCTGTACTACCCTATGTCAGAGGAGTCACAGACAAGGTTGGCTACATCTTGAAGCGAGCTTCCATTAAAACGTACTTCAAGCCGCTGAAGAAGATTGGTCAATTTTTACCATCCGTCAAGTGTCATATCCCTCTACAAGATGCAGGAGTGTACAAGCTGGATTGTGAATGTGGTCTCTCGTACATAGGACAAACAAAAAGATCTATTAAAACCCGCGTTAAAGAACATATAGCTGACGTGAAGCACCGACGTATCGGGAAGTCTGCAGTTTGTGAACATGTTCAGGATCGTCCCCGTCATTACATTAGATTTGATAGACCACAAATCCTCGCAAAAGAACACCGATTCCTCCCAAGGATGATTCGCGAGGCTATTGAAATTAAAAAACATCCTAATTTCAATAGAGAAGATGGATGGGTGCTGCCATCTGCTTGGGATCCCATAATTAATAAAATCAAATCCAAACCCAAGTATACCACTGCTAGACTTCAAGATACTGTAAGCTCATTCTGCGTAAATCGAACCAAAAATTAATATTAAAAAACTGAAGGTAGCCGGGCTAACTATGACAGCAGGACGTCAAACAACTCAGTCCCCCGTGACCACGGGTGCTGGAAAGCACCCGAAACGTCGGGAATATAAAAATAAGTTAAAAATAAGTTAATATACGCGATAAAATCCGTAAAATTAGTTTTATTTAAAAAATGTGTAGTGTTCGCGTAAATATAAGAAATCATTATGTATTTTTGTTATTAGTATCGTATATATTTTCATATGCATTTAATAAAAAGTTGTAATTTCGACATTAGAAACAGACACTTCAATTTTATTTATTTGTATAGATGTATAGATAGGTGCATCAGTATATTGCTCCGCTTTAACAATGTTTTAAATGCTTTAAATTTAATCACTGAGCGAAAATATGTAAATCGGTGCAACGGTGTTCAATTTGTGCAGATGAACATCGGTACACTGAATGTAAGGAAAATGCGGTAAATAAACGCATGAATTGTAGTGGCCCTCATGTCGCAATTTCTAGAAATTGTCCAATTAAAAAACAAAAAATTGCTGAAAAATATAATAGGTCTACTTATGCTAAAATCTTACAAACAAAACAAACTCAAAATTTATTTAACAATTATAATGAAAATTTACATTCAATGCAACAAAAAATAAACCAATACTTTCAAAAAACAGTAGATCAATCACAAGTTAGATCTAATGATACTCAAGTACACAAATCAAAGACGAAAATTACCCAAAAAAATACCACAACTAACAATAATGACACTCTTAATGACCAAATTATAAATGACAATATTTTGAAAGCAAATATTGGAGCATTGGTGGCCATGGGTAACTCTGGCCGTAAACTGACTACATCAAGTATAAAATAAATGCTTATTACTAAATCTTAAAAACAACGAATAAACAATTTATTAGAATTTCAGAATTTAGTTGTTGGTTGAGGTAGTTTCAATGAAATAAATTTTCATTGAAATAACCTTATTTTTATCGTCTTTTATACCTAGCTGTTCAACGCGACTTCGCCCCCGGGTTATTTGGGGTTTTATTTTTTTTGCGCGGAACTCTAATTCTTTTTCTAAAATAAAAGTAGCCTAAGTTACTCTTTATGACATCAGCTATCTGCCAGTGAAAGTCCCGTCACAATCGGTCCAGCCGTTTTGGAGATTAGCCGGAACAAACAGACAGACAGGGAAAAATTTTAAAAATTGTACTTTTGTTATAAGTACCGTATATACGAGGGCGGCACTGAAAATTTCGGGAATCAAGGAAGTGACACATTACAATTTAAAAATGTATTTAATGCTTTTCGAAGTATTCTCCGCGAAATTTGACACATTTTTCCATACGATGGAACCAATCATTGAAGCAACCATTCCATTCGGAAGTTGGGGTCTCCAAAATGGCCGTTTTGTAGGCGTCCACAGCTTCTTCAGGTGATGAAAATCTCTGTCCACGCAATTTATTCTTTATTTTAGGGAAAGTATAGAAATCATTAGGGCTTAGGTCGGGGCTGTAAGGCGGATGGTCTAATAATTCTATGTTTTCTTGCTTTAAAAACTCTTTTGTTCTGTATGCGGTGTGAGAACTCGCATCGTCGTGATGGCGGATGATGCGGCGGTTGCAGTTCTCTTTACGGAGTTCAGAAACGATCTGTGGAAAACAAATGCTACCATACCATTCTGCATTAACCGTTCTTTGTCCCTCAAGAGGAATAGTCGTAACATGGCCGGTTTTGGAGACAAACGTGGCCACCATTTTTTTGCTACACTCCGTGAACGAACAATTTTTGTTGGCTTTAACTCATTTTCGAAAACCCAAACTCATGACTGGTTTTTTGTTTCGGGTTCGTACGCATATATCCAGGATTCGTCACCTGATACGATGCTGTATACTGCATTTGAGGAACCTGCGTGGAATTCGAGAGTTCTGACGCACCAAGTAACGCGAGCCGCTTTTTGCTCTTCACGGAGCGAATGCGGTATTCATCGGGAAAACAACTTTTTTACACCTAATTGTTCATGCAAGATTATTTGTATTTGACTCATGCCAATGTCTAAAGTTGCCTGAATTTCGCGATATGTCACATGTCGATCTTCCTCAATCAGTTTACGCACAGCATCAACGTTTTCTTGGGTGACTGCAGTTTTTGGACGACCTTGACGGGGATCATCACTGAGCTTGACTGACACGTCCACGTTGAAATTCAGCAAACCAGCGATAAATTGTGGTTTTGGATGGGGCTTCATCACCAAATACAGAAATCATCCGGTCAACACACTGTTTTTGTGTTAAACCACTTCGAAAATCATAATAAATCATCGTTCTTGAATTTTCTCGAGTCAATTCCATTTTCTCAACGACTAAACAAGTTTGACATAACCTTGTGATAAGACCGAGAATCTTTTTTTAAATTAATAAATGGTATTCGATTTTTAAAACCAAGGAGTTTTCAATTAAAAAGATTTTAATATGACAGGAACAGTGGAAATATTCTTATGTGGATATATGCATTTTGTAAAAAGCTGTAATTTTGACATTACCAACAGACACTTCAATTTTATTTGTTTGTTATAAACATTGACTAAAAAATAAATAAACTACGGTCAAAGATATTGGATTTACAAAATATCTCAATACTGACATGTAATTTCCTTATCATATGCTTTCTTTTGACTTCAAATCCAATAACTGAATACTTTATTTTTTATCTCAATGGTACAGTTGTGACCAAAAAACATTTAATTAACAATGACATTATTATGCCTCCATAAAACCGTAATAATAGCATCAAGGTCCAAACAAAGCAGGTGAATAGCCCACATGTTCTTTCTTCATCAGTGTCATAATACATTTTGATAAGCATTAAATCTTCTTGCTTATCACTACTATCAAATCTTGTAACTAGATAAAACGCCGAATTTATAAAATATTAGGGCAAAGAAGTAACCACCGCGCTGCCACAATGTGTGTTGGCGGACTTCACGTGTCGGGTGGATTGATCCACTCAATCCACCCGTCAAGTGACTTGACGTGACTTGACTTGACTTGACTTTAACTAAAGGGATCCATGTTTGTTGGACATGGGCCTTACCTTTTATGGGATGATGAAGCAGACGAATGTCTTGTTGGTAATGCCACGCTTCACTGCTTTCCATGTGGTAGAGCCACGCTGCAGCTATATTATGGTTGTAGCACGAATCGGTCGGCTCGACTGGGGTAGAACCACGCTCTCACAGTATACCAGCGTAAAATAACAGCTTGATGTCGCTGTGTAGGGAACCGGAAACGCTTTTTATTGGAAACGAGGCGTTCCATCTTAGTCCTCAAGGGTGAAAATGCATCTGCATTTTGAATTATGAAAGTTGCCTCAGCATCCACTTACATCATGGACTTTGTGTTCGTTTGTCACCCACAGTTTATATTATATGAATTAAATTTTAGAAAGTGCCTTCCAAAAAAGTGTGTGCCAAAATCCTTAAATATTTTTTATTTTATTGCAGATATGGCCGAAAGAACACCTTCCTCTTTTCAATTGGGACGCTCATTGTATTAGGATTCGGCGTCCCTTTCTCACCCGACTACATCACCTTTACTGTACTCCGGTTCTTCTTGGGCATAGCGACGTCTGGAACTATGGTCGTCTCTTTCGTTCTAATTATGGAGACGGCGGGACCTAACTTCAGGGAGATTTTAGGCTGCTTGTTCCACATACCCTTTATCATTGGTCACATGACAGTGCCACTCTTTGCGTTCTACTTCAGGAGATGGGACACATATAGCATGGCTTTGGCGATCCCGCCTTTGATATACTTGGGTTACTTCTTCCTTTTGACCGAATCGCCAAGGTGGCTGGTCAGTGTTGGCAGAGTGAAAGAGGCTACGAAAATCGTGAAGAGAGCATGTGAAATGTAAGTTCTATTTTGTAACTATTGTACTACTAAAGTAAAGATATTATACTACTAAAGAGTACATGACTGATAATAACCCCGGGGTATGGGGTGATCGCTACCATGCTGTTTCTGAATGTTTCCATAACAATTGTATAAAATATTATATTGTAAGTTATTCTTTTCAAAAAAGTGCCGCTGGGTTTCTTGCTGGTTCTTACCAGGACAGAGGTTTTTTCTAACCAGTGGTAAAAATATGAAAATACTTTCAATAAGAATTACATGATTGTAATCAATATTGAATAAAAAAAAATTCTATTCTATTGTAATAATTTCCTCATAGCAGCTTCAATAGCATTTTTTTCAGCCTATAACAAGTGCACAGTTAGCTGTGCACTTGTTATATGTTTAGACATAGACCTCCCCCATAGATTGCCGCATAGGGGGGATATTTGCCATAGACTTTTACATATACTATAATAAAATTACTTTTGAATAAAACCAATTTCAGGAATTTATTTCGTATAAATCCGTAAAATTGGTTTTGTTCAATGTCTAGTGTCCGTATAAATATAATAAATCAATAATATGAACATGTATGGTGGCGGTGTGATCCACTACCCCATATCGTTCCGTGGGTGTCGTAAGAGTCGACAAAGGGAAACTGAAACATGAGCAGTATCCTCCTGATGACAATTCAAAATAAAAAAGCCGCGGTCGCCACTCGCTTGCCAAGCGTGACAACTGTGACAAAATCCTCCCTATCTGGCAATATTTGGGAGTGGCCTACGTTCAGCAGAGAACTTTTTAGACTGAAATTGAATGAATTATAGGAGTATGAATTAGTGTAAATATTGTTTAAACAATTTAAAATTTAAAATTTTGTACAACCGACTTCAATATAAATTATTAAGAATGACTCAAAAACTATTAGTCAGACCTTGATTAAATTTATATGGGACCACGTGAGAAGCACCAGCTTTCAAATAAAAATAGGTTCACGCAGAAAACAGTTATGAGGTAACACACATAAAAAACATACAGTCAAATAGAGTACCGTCTCCTTTTTGAAGTCGGTAGAAAAAAACTTTTAATTAGAAACTTTGAAGTCTGGGCTTTTCGCCTAAACATAAACGCATGCTACATATTTATCATATCCAATAGCATTGCGGATTGCCTTAAAGACAAGACTGTACCGTAGAAATACGTGGTTTAAATGGTCAGCACTTAACAGTGTCCCGTCTTGTAAGCCGTAATACGGTCTATTGTGGCAACACTGCACTTCTTTACCAGACACCACCTATTGTAGTCTTAATTTTTTTTTATTAAAATGTTACCCGCACACTAGGATTTTCACGTGTATTGTGGAAGCTGTTTACAAATATAAATTGCAGAAGGACAAACGTCCAGACCCGGAACAATTATTCGTAGACCATACAAATACGTGTTCCGTGCGGGATTCGAACCCGTGACCCTTAGCGCCGCAACTCAATGCTAAGCTACTACGCCACGGAGCCATCGCGAATATAAAACATACCTTTGTACTTTAATTAATATTTTTTCTTTTTAGGAACAACCTCCCAACAGCTAAAATAGAGGAGAGCTTGACGAAAATGGCACAAAACATCCAGACCAGTTCGACGGGACCCAAGCTTAACTATACGGCGTTATTCCGCAAGTCGCTGCTCCTTAAAACACTGTGCTGCTGCATTATGTGGACCATCAGCGGGTTGACTTTCTTCGGATTCAACCAGTACATTAGTCAGACTAGTCCAGATCCATTCATCAGTGTTGCTGCGGCCGGAGCCATTCAGGTATATACATGCCTCAGATTTTCATCATTATAATAATAATGCCCTCCTGACCGAACTCGAGATGGCCAGTCAGAACGAGGATTAGCCATCTACGCAGTACAGGATTATAATTAAATGAAATTAATTTTTACTGTTAGTGTGTTTAGTTTAGTTGTGTCGCTGGGGGGGGGGGGGGGGATTTCATTTTATGTGTAGTCTTCGCATAAATAGGCGCAAGCACAGATGCACTCTCTATTCCCTCACTCTCATAGTCCTATGGGACGGTACTCCGACACGACTGGTGTGAGATCAGACAGGACCAATAGCTTTACGTTATTTCCGAGGCACTAGATGAAACACAGCCAGCTTCCGGACTGATACTGAGTATTTTTTGACGGAAAAACCAACGACTGATCTTGGCCCGACCCGGGACTCGAACCCGGGGCCTCATGATCAGCGACCGTGTTTACGACCGAAAGACCAAAAAACGAACGAGCACATGAAATCGCAACTGAAAATTGAATGAAATGAAAAATGAAAATTCCGTCGGGCATCGAACTCAGGCTTCTCGCGTTCTGTGAAATTTACAACGATCAGTTAGCTACCATTGCTTAGGTTTTAGTATTAATTTATGCGCACGTGCTTGCGTGCAAGCATGCGTGAGCACGTGCGTGTATATGTCTGATAACTAAGTGTATGTACTGATGCGTTCCGGTCTTAAGGGTATAGAGAACCCATTACAGGCATTCCATTTTGGGCCTCAATTTAAATTAAGCGGCAGGTATCCGCAGTAGCCACTTACCATCAAGTGGATTGAATGTTCGTTTGTCACGTCAATTCAATAACAAAATAAGGAAGAACCCCACGAAATGAAGAAGACGATTGTGGCGACTTTACTTTCAAAGTACAATTAATATAATATTATCTATTTGAGATGCTCCAAGCCTGGGATTAAGGCTATACAAATGTATATAAATGTTTATGCTTTACCTAAACATTTCAGGCAATAAAAAAATAACATTAGGGCCAAGGAAATGCCCTTGAATGTGTTTTAAATTATAAATTATTTTCCTCCATGGTAACCCTGATGTCGCATTACGTAGGCGGTCGCTTGAAACTTTTATGAGCATCTAAGGCACTTGGACCATTCATGCGAGACTCTTTTCTTGCTTAAGATTAAAAAAGGCTTATAAAAAGAAACATTTAATAATAACAACTATAAAAAAAGGATACGATACAGCATTGAGCCGTTTAAAAAACTGATTAAAGATTTTTGTTTATAATTGTGTTCTACTCATTTTATTTTCTACAGACTTTAAAAAGGAGCCGGTACTCAATTCGACTGTATGGTTTTTTTATATGTGTTAACTCATAACTTTTTACTGGGTGAACCGATTTCGAAGATTCTTTTTTTAATATGAAAGCTGGTGCTTCACATGTGGTCCCATATAAATTTGATTAAGGTCTGACGAATAGTTTTTGAGTTATTCTTAATAGTTTATATTGAAGTCGGTTGTGCAAAATTTTTAATTTTAAATTATGTTATGGATTATTTACATTCCAATTAATAGAATCAAACGTTACTTTTGATCTTAGCAACATTGAGTAATACTTATAATATATTTATATGTTTTTTAAGAAATTATGATTATCTCATTCTCTTATATGCTTATATTGTTTATACAGCTTGTATGACTATTATTTATTCACATTTCTATAAGTTTAAAAAAATAATCTTCACCAAGGTTTGCGTTTTTTATATATTTATATTTAAATGTAGGTATATAAGGACGCAAATATATATTAAATGTTCGTTAATATACAGATAATCCAAGATTATTATATTTATTTCTGTAAATTTTCTCTTATCTTTGAACATTTAAGAGGGAGAAGACATACTATCGTCCAACATTCAAATTAACATACAAGTTGTATTATTCAAAAATTCCTATATAATCCCGAACAACTATCTTATAGAGGCTCATATCCATAGAAATCAAATAACACATATGTCCCATAGTCATAGTCTATTTCTTTGACATGCTCTGTAATCTAAACGGCTTGATTTTTTTTTATAGAATAAGGGTTACAAATGAGCACACAGTCCACCTAATGGTTAGTGGTTGCTGTGGCCCATATACATCTACATCTATCTTCGTTTGCGAATTAAAATGCAGATGCGTTGTCAGCCGTAAGGACTAAGTCATAATGCCTCTTTTCCAGTAAAAAGGGTCTCCGGTTCTCTATACTCACCATACGAAACACAGCAGCATTAAGCTGCTATTTTACGCTGGTATTCTGTGAGAGCGCGGTCCTTCCCCGGTCGAGCCGACCCATTCGTGCTACAACTATATTACTAATATAGCTGCAGCATGGCCCTACCACATAAAAATCTTTTTTAACTTTTAAGCTTACATTGGCATAATTTCTGTTTCAGATCCCATCAAACCTTTCATCAATTTGGTTGATAAAACGCTTTGGAAGGAAGGTCACCACGACCGTGTTCTTCACTTTGGGAGGAATCTGCGTGCTTATATTAGGAGTTGTGCCCAACAAATTCTGGATCACTCTGACCTTGGGAACTTTGGGCGTCAGTTGCTCAGCTATAGTGGCTGCCACAATATACATTTTCACATCGGAACTCTTCCCGACCGTAGTCAGGAATATGGCGATGGGTTCGAGTTCTATGTCGATGCGGATAGGTTCCATGATTGCACCATTTATATCTAATTTGTCAATGAAAACGTCAGTGTTACCAACACTAATATTTGGATTTGCACCAATTCTTGCTGGACTAGTCTGCTTGTTGTTACCTGAGACGAAGGGTACCACGCTACCTGATAGTATAGAAGATGAATGAAAGAACTTAGACTGTAGTTTATTTTTTTAATTCTTTAAGCCTTAATGTAAATACCTAGACAACTTTTTACTACTAAGCATTAAAAAATAATTTACAAAGGCATTTTGCTATAAACCACCCAACCATTTAAATACCTTATTAATTTATTTATTTTATCACATTTATGCACAGAAAGACTTGTGGCAGACTTAATGCCATAAGGCATTCTCTCCTAGTCAACCATTGGGCTAAGCAGCAAACTAAAAAATAAAAGAAATCTATATGAGATTTCCACCTATGTACTGACGTCATCACGATATTTCTTGAACCATAAGGCCTAGAGACTTGAAATCTGGTATGAATATTTCTTTCGTCGAGCAGAGGTCAGCTACGAACTGGTACCACCCACAAGGGGGGTTGCGGGGGCGTTAATTTAAAAAAGAATCACATTTTGAAACTATAGCTCTTATGGGTATAAAACTTAGCCAGAATATTCTTTTTGGCATGTTAAAATTTACCAAGAACGGATTTTATGAAATTGGACCCGGTAGGTGGCGCTATTGTCGATATCCAGAAATCACCCGTGTGAAGCCGGGGCGGATCGCTAGTGTTTGTATGTTTTTTTATTTATAGGATAAGGGTGACAAACGAGCACACAGTCCACCTGATGGTAAGTCGTTGCTGCAGCCCATAGACATCTACATCTATCCTCTGTTACAAATCAAAATGTAGATGCGTTGTCAACCGCGAGGACTAAGATGGAATGCCTCATTTCCAGTAAAAAGGGCCGCAAATTTTCGACATTCGCAAGAGAATCAAAACCTACAGGGTACTTCCCGTGAACTCAGAATCTTAAAATTTGGTACGAAGCAACGTATTATAGCACAGATAAAAGAAAAATTTGCGAAATGTATAAATTTTTAGTTACATCATATAATAAAAATATTTTTAATAATTTTAAACTTATATACCTACAGATTTGTTCGGAACCCTCGGTGCGCGAGTCCGACTCGCAATTGGCCGTTTTTTTATATAGGATTGGGTAACAAACGAGCACACAGTCCACCTGATGGTAAGTGGTTGCTGTGACCCATAGACATCTACATCTATCCTAATTAAAGAAACGAAATGCAGATGCGTTGTCACCCGTGAGGACTTAGATGGGATACCTCGTTTCCAGTAAAAAGGGTCTCCGGTTCTCTACACTCACCATGCGAAACACAGCAGTGTTAACTTGCTATTTTACGCTGGTATTCTGTGAGAGCGCGGTACTTCCCCGGTCGGGCCGACCCATTCGTGCTACAACTATACTACTAATATAGATGCAGCATGGCTCTACCACGTAGGACTTGCAATGATTTTCTAAAGTGTTCACGAACTTAAAGAAACTTGTTGGGAGCTTTTTTAATGTCAAAAGGTATTTTGCTTCCTAATACTTCACCTAATTTATTTAATTTATTAATTAATATTATATTAATATAATATAATAATTTATTAAGATGTAGCTTTTATCCAAAATATAGTCTCTACTGTATTTTAGTACAAACGATCACTCGGCGCCTCTTTCTGCTAAAGCGAAAGGCGATTTTGCCGCCGTCCTCAAATAAAAGTTGCCACGTAAACTGAAACAAAAATAAACATTTATTGATTTAGATTTGCGATTTGGATAAACACTTTTCACAATATTTATTTTAAACTAGCGATCCGCCCCGACTTCGCACAGGTGATTTCTGGATCTCGACAACAGCGCCACGCAGCGGGTCCAATCGTAAATCGTTTAGATCATCCAGACAAAACACATACAAAAAGATTTCATCAAAATCGTTCTAGCGATTTTCGAGTTTTTGCAAGACTGTAGAGAGAGATATGTAAAGAAATAATTATTAATTATACTTATTATTAAAACGACCGGTTTCGCCTCCCGGCATATATATATAATTATAGTTTACTTAAACTTAACTTATCTTCACGCACAATCCCTGACGGGGTAGCCAGAGAGAACAGATCGCCAAGTGTCACGATCCTTACAAACCTCTTTCGCTTCTTTCAGATTCATTATCTTCTTCATGCATGCACGTCAGGTATCCGAGTACTTTTGACCCTACCCTCTTCGAGCAATTTGCTCACATGGCCTTCGAAGGTTAGTCTCGGTCTACCTCGACACCTTTTAATATTAACTTTCGCGCTATATATTTTCTTCACCATTCGGTCTTCACTCATTCGCTCAACGTGCCCAAACCACCGAAGCACGCCCTTATCAATTTTTGTGATAAGGTCATCTTTCAAACCTGCCATATTGCGAATCTCTTCGTTTCGCTTTCGGTCGGCCATGGTAACGCCGCACATTTTACGAAGAGATCGCATCTCCACTGCATTCAACTTACTTTTATGCTTCTTCTGGCATACCCAGGTTTCGCTGCCATATAACAAAGTCGGTACCAATACTGCGTTATGTATTGCAAGGCGTGCACTCTTCGCTACGCCTTGCCTTTTGACTAACGCAGTCAGGGCACCATTGACTTTGTTCCCGGCGGCGACACGCCTGTCCACATCTAAATCACATCTTCCATCCCGGCTAAAAGCACTCCCCAAGTATACAATTTCATTTACCTGTTCTAGACATTCCTGATTTACCCATATTTCACACTTCGTTCTCTCTTCGTCCCTTTCAAATACCAGAACCTTAGTTTTATTAGCGTTCAAACGGAGACCTTTAATTTCACATTCCTCTTTCATACACGTGACTAATGCCTGCAGTTCTGCCTCTGATGGTGCAATAAGCACTGCATCATCAGCATACAGAAGACAATTTACTTTTATGTCACCCAATTTCACACCCAAACAGCTTTTGTAAACAGCTGTCGAGATACAGTATAAACAGCCAGGAAGACATGACACAACCCTGTTTTACGCCCGTTTGGACGCTAAACATGGGTGACAGGTCATGCCCTACCCGCACACAGGCTTTACAGTCACAGTAAAGAGACTGCACAGCCCTTAGCAATCGACCATCCACACCATACCCCGGCAACAGTTCCCACATTTTCTTCCTTACAACCTTATCAAATGCTTTCTCAAGATCCACAAAAGCACAGAAAATCTTCTGTTTAGCAGCCAGAAGCTTTTCCGTGATCATGCGGAGAGAAAACATTTGATCCGTGCATCCTCTTCCAGGTCTAAATCCGCATTGTGCCTCCCATAGAAATCTTTCCGATTTCTCTTGCATCCTACGTGTCAAAACCTTCGAGTAAACCTTACTTGCTAAACTGGTCAAGCTGATCGCCCGATAGCACCCGCAGTCAAAATGTGAACCTTTACCTTTATATAAAGGCCAATCATCCGGGACATCCCCCGTCCGCCAGCACAAATTGCACAGCAGATGAAAGCTGTCCCAGACGCGAGGCCCACCATACTTGACCATTTCAGCAGTAACTCTGTCTAGTCCCGCAGCCTTACCACATTTCAAACTTCGAATCGCACGTTCAATCTCTTTCATCCTGATGACCTCAGTGTCATCGAGGTCTGGGTCTGGCGTACCAGTCACGGCGTTATCCCCGGATCCCTCACTAAGATCATCACACGCATACATTTCTCTATAAAATTCGCTCCATCGCTGCATGACGTCCGATTTTTCTGAGAGGACGTCATTAGTTCTTGAAAGCACTTTGTTCATTCTTAAGGCCGTCGCACCACTTCGGGTCCTTCCAACCTCTTTCCAGAAGAGTTTGGAGTTCTCCTTAAAGTTGTGCGACAACCTTTCGTCCGCTTCCATTCTACACCTTTCACGCACTTCCTCAATCAGTGCTTTCGTGTGAACTTTCTGCAGCCTATATCTTTCTTTCATCTTCTCTCTCATATCCTTATCATTACTAGAGGCCAAGTAGTCTAACCATGCTTTCTTCTTCTTCTTTACAGCTTCTTTCACTTCATCATTCCACCATGCATCTCTTCATTATAGTTTAAGATATTTTATTCCTCAAAATAATTTTTATTCTATTAGACGAAAAATGTTTACAATGTTAGTCTCATTGAGACGGCACAAGCGGCACGACACACAAAACAAAATGATAACATAATTTAAAATTAAAAATTTTGTACAGCCGACTTCAATATAAGTTATTTAAGAATAACTTAAAAACTATTGGTCTGACCTTGATCAAATTCATATGGGACCACACGAGAAGTACCAGCTTTCAAATAAAAAAAGAATCATCGAAATCGGTTCACCCAGAAAAAAGTTCTGAGGTAACACACATAAAAAAAAAACGAAAAAAAGAAACATACAGTCGAATTGAGTACCGGCTCCTTTTTGGAAGTCGGCAGAAAATTGAAATACAATATTTTCTTTTTAGTCTAAGCGAAGTAATGGTAAAAAAGTTATAATTAGGTAATTTTTTACTTTTTACTTTTCCATTTAGTGACAATGCATTCTGCATATTGATTCTTAATCAATGGTACGTGTAGATATCTATGGACCACAGCATCCACTTACCATCAGGTGGACTGTGTGCTTGTTTGTCACTCTTATCTCTATATATAAAAATCGAATGCTGTCGTTTAGTCTCGCTAAAACTCAAAAACGGCTCGAACGATTTTGATGAAATTTTTCGTGTGTTTGAATGGGTCCCTAGATGTTTTAGATTCACTATAGGACCCGGTAGGTGGCGCTATTATCGATATCCAGAAATCATCAGGTACGAAGCCGGGGCGGACCGCTAGTTCTATATAAAAATGCCAGAAAATCTTCCTAACTAGCTTCTGACAGATGGCGGTATAATTATTTCGTTTAGGACGTCGACGGGCAACAGCGTCAAAGGTGTGAGACGTCAGGTACTGTGATCATCAATCCGCCCGCCAGAAGTAGCCAGTAGAAGCCTGCAGGTATAAGAATGTGTTGTCTCGTCTACCGTGAACTTGCGATTCTTGAAAATGCGTTACAAAGAACACTGGTGGATAAATACGAGTGTCCGGTGTGTTTGCGTACGCGTGATGCACAGTTTTTTTTTTTACCCAGTCAAACT